GTCTATGGGTATACTCCACTGGAAAGTCTAGCAAAAGATCTACTCAAAACTTTGCATTTTTCTACCATTTTAAGAGCATTTTACTTTCTTCTTGGGATTAATAAAACAATCAGTATTTAATGAAAGTAGAACACTGAAAATTTGACTTTAATCTGAACTAAGATCATAACTGAAACTTACATTATCCATATTTTTTTATTTACACACTGAACACCAGTAGTTAGTCTTGACTGCATCATATGAAACTTTTATCACAACACATCCTCTGCACCATATAACCTCACGTATTAACAAAGCAGCTGAGAAACACACAAAAAACACCTTATCGCCACAAACCTGAGTACCCAGTGATTATTCTACAGATTGAATCAACTATGCGCCGAGAAAAAGTTACAAAATGTTTATTTTCTTCGCTCATTTGTGGCACTCTTAGTATTTGCCTACATCATCTATGCCACGGGACAGTTCAGTCTATAAGACATGCATATTCAGGACTGCTGTGAGAGGGAATACATGCTTTGTATTCTGATTCCTCTGACAATTTATGTTTAATGTACTGTTGGCGGTACTCTTCTTAGATCATGCCCAGTTTCTCTTTAAAAAAAAAAGGACTGAAGTGAACTCGAGTTGTTTGCTTTTCTGACTTGTTTAGTTTGGCTGTCAGGCTCCTGTTTGACGCGTGTGATGGCCGTATGAAACCTTCATCAAAGCGCTGAGTGCTGGTGTATGTGCGGTGAAGCCACGTGGCTTTGGATCTTTCCGTCACTCTTGCGTTTTTTTTTTTTTCTCCTCCAGCATGTGTGTTCAGTAAACGTTTGGCGCGCACCGTGCCACAGCCAATATCTCCCTCCCGCTTGATGTGGTCCCACAGCAGTGCGCTGTGGGTACTGGCGCGGTGCCGCTGAGGTAACACGGACCAGGGACGGGACCTCACCACAACACCCACTTAACAAACGTGGGTTTGTGTGTGAATACGAACAGCCAGCAGTGTGTATCTGTTACTGGCTGCACACTCCCACAGCCTCATGTAATCCAGAAGTTGCTTTTATTTTATTTTATTTTTTTTGTTTGCATGCTGACATCTGCAAATATTGTGCGACGTCCTACAGAAATYCATGTGTTTGTGATTTCTGAGCTACACCACATGGCTGCCACACACAAATCCATGTCTGCAGTGCTGTATCTGCTCCTCGTCAGTGTGAGTGAAGGCACTCTGATGATCTGTGATGGAATGATTGATTTCTGATTGTTACATTTTTTTCAGGTTGCAGAAATTTTAACCTACTCTTCTCTACATTTGGCGATTGCAATAAGATGCTCGCGGATAATAAAGCCCCTTAAAGAACAGTCCCCTCTCTGGCATGAAATGAGCTAATCTGTTTTTAACAGAGGTGATTTTTGTTGTTATTATTAGGTCCTTTATTGTGGCTCTGGATGTGTGGCTGAGTGGAGGCGCCTGTCAGGATTGTGATTTTGTTCTGCTTGAACTGGGGCACTGTAAGCAAAATTAAAACTTGCCACAGTTTTCTGCTTCTAAGTTAAAGCAAATTTGTCAAACAAGTTAATATTCACTGGCAGTGGTGGGCACAGCTAASCAAAAAGTTAGTTTCACTAACCACAAGAATCCTATCTCCACTAATGCTAATTTGCTAAACAGATTAAAGCAATTAGTGGAAGCTAACGCTAACCGCTAATACAGTTAGAGGGACTTATGCAAACCTGTTTGTTTTCTATTGGTTTAATTTGAAAGTGTGGGATTTTCTGTGGCAAATTTGCCAATCCAAACCAGAGTTATAGCTCTGATACTTCC